ATTTTTTTTCGTTTCATTTACTCGTAAACTATTATTTCTCTTCTCCTACAAAAAAAAAAATCCAATTTAATTAACAAGATAAAAACAATAAACTATACTTTATACTAGGTACGTATTTAGATTTTATATATTGATACCTTTAATTCCACTAAGTATTTTGAAAAGAACCCATTCAACTTAGAACAGTTAAAAAAATCAAATTTCCATTGAACAAATACGGAATTATTTGTTATGTACATTGGTTTTTCGAGATCGATAACTGGTGCTATGTTTGGTTCTAAGTTTAATAGTTTAAAAGAAATAAAATTATTTCAGAAAGTTACAAGTACATTAATTTGAACATTTGTAAAACTTTGAATTTGTAATTCTTTGTAATTCTTACTTGAAGTCGACGTTAACGTGTATATCGTTTGACTATTGTAACCGGTCAGAACTTGAATTAAGTATTGTGAATTAGGCACTACGTCTAATATTTCGTAGYTAGTTTGATTGGAAATCGTGACCGACGTCCAACTATTTTCTAATTCTTGCAAAGTACAACTGAGAATTCGGTTGATCTAAAATATCATATAAATTTGTCTTTTTTAGACCTTAATTTGTAATACCCCTATGACCTACATAACTGATTTAAATTTTTTATTTACCTATTATATAATTAATGAAAAAATAAATATAGTATATAATATTATAACCTATTTTAGACTAGATTATCATTTGAKTTATTCACTTATGATTCGATTATTTACAAAATGTATTACAAGAAATATAAAATAAATTACTTTGTATCTTAAAGTGCACGTGACTGGTTCAACTACTACTGATTTTACCGTAACATTAAAACGTTCATAAATATATCCTAATTTCCAGGATACTTTAATCTTTCCATTTTCACCGATCGAAGAAATATCTTTAACTTTAAATTCAATTCCTTCATCGAGTATGGTATAAGAATTATTAGTTAACACATTTACATTCTATGTGATTATTGACATTTATTTTAATTTATATAATTTAAAACGTAGGTACCTGAAAGTGGAGTAGCCGAATAAATAGGCGATGAAAATAATTGTCCTTTAGTTGTATTTAGAATTAATTGTATATTGTAACGATAACCAGGTATAAGGTCGTATATATAGTGTCCACTAGTTGAATTTGATCTTATTTTCTGTACACCAGATAGTTGGTTCTGTGACTGATTGTACGACAACATHAATAAATATTCAATAATATTGCATTCAAATCTGGTCATAGTAGTAGTTGTCTATAGTGAATGCAAAAGATTAGAAAACCATTAGAATATGTATCTAGGTACTTATTGTTTTAAATGCAAAAAATATTATTTATAACATTAAGTAAATAAATATTCTAGTTAATGGAAATTATTAATTATTTATAGCTGTATTTTCTTCATACTTTATTCCATGWCACGTTGATGCTTTGTATTCCACTTACAAGTATTACATTAAAATCATCAATATTTGGTGCTAAAATATAAAATTTTAAAAACTTAAATAATATTATGAATATTACTAAAACATATATTGATTAACATTTTTATGTTTTTAAATTAATGGTTAATTGAAAAATATACTTACGTATACATGACGTCTTAAATTCGCCATATACTATATCTTGATCATTAAAATTACCATCATCTGTTATTAAAATAACACCAACTAAATATACAGTATCTGGTTCTAAATCACTTAAAGTTTCTTTGGTTCCATTACTATTTTCAATAATGAGTTTGATATCAGAACTAATAAATTGATCTTCTTTTAACGTCTAGAAATATTGATTATAGAACACATAATTATATTTATTGTATAATCTAATATAGATCATGTTGAAACTTGAAATTTAATTTTTCCTGAGGCAATACCATTAACCGGGCTGTTAACAAGTCTGTCCAAACCACGATTATCTACCATAGATAACCGTGGTCCAAACTAACACTTTTATTATGAAGTATCAATATTAAAACTTCTATTTTTAGTCCATTTATATTTATTTCTATGGAATTTGATAGATTTAGAACCCGGAATAAAATAAAAGTAAAAAAGTAATTTTACGATGATAAGCTAAGAGTCTGGCTTTAAACCCCCACTTCRTTAAAATACTTGTAATTTAATAATTAATACTATTTCCACACATACTTTACTAATTTAATAAAAATGTAGGTACAAAAAATATGTATAGACCAATGGTCGGCAACTTGTGGACCGCGGTCCAAATCCGGACCTTGGAATGGAGAAGATTAGAACATCAACATGCCTTAAAAATTTTTTATCTTCATATAATTATCATAAAAATATAAARATGTGACAAAAATTGTTTTCGTTAGACCTCATTTTTTAAATATTTTAATCATCCAGACTCTATTAGAAATTACTTTCGAACTCCTGGTATAGACTTTGGGTACATTATACAATGTTAGTTAAGTTGGATCTGAGATAAATTTGGTACATTTTGAAGGCAGTAAAATGAATCCTGAGAAAAATACAAGTATTATGTTAGTTGAGTCGCGAGGTACTAGGTAAATTGAATCCCGATTAAAAAAGATTATAAGTCCCAGCTACTAATTAAAAAACTAAAAACTAAATTTCATAAGATTGTATTATTATATACTTAATTTATATTAATTATATTACTACAAATACAAATTAATAAAAAAATAAATGTCATTATTATGATATTTAATACATACAATGTTCTCGGTAAACACTTAATTATTATTGATTTAATAAACTCAAATCGGGTTATAACATTACTACTTACCTAGTGTATTTGGCCATTTTCTCCCCTATATGTTAATAATAATGAAATTAATTTTTAATTTTTTTTATTAATTTGTATTTGTAATATTATTAATCAATATTAATGAAGTATAAAATAATATAATATAATGAAATTTATTTTTAAAGAGTACATAATATTATATATAATAATAATAATCAAATTTATTTTTATTTTTTCAATTTCTATTATATGACGGTAGAACCTAGATATAAACTTTTTTTCCCGGGACCCAACTTACCTATTACCTGTTTTTTCCCTGGACGCAATGTACCGTGTAAGGGTCATTCGTTACCTAATTTACCAATCCCGATACAATTCATATAATATTATTTTTTAAACAATAAAAAAAAACTATTGTATTTAAAGAAATTAAAAATTCATTAAAAAAATTGAACTAACAATGAGTGTTAAACAAATCATTTTAGCAAATTAAAAATAATATATTATGTTTATTAGGCATATATCAAGTTATCAACTGATAATCGGTAGGTATAATATTATAATTTATAATAATATTGTATATTATTACGTATATGCACATTCAATTTCATATTAAATATTATTGTAAAGTATTGAATTAACAAGCTTACTGAAAWTAAATAAATAATTTTTCTTTAAAATATCGTACCTTGTAAACCATTTGATAATATTGCAACTTAATATTTTTATCTTCACCCATTACATTAGAAGATTGGAAATCACATTCTACTTCTATTGACTGGTATTCGTTTGATAGCAGTTTCGGTGGATTTATGAGATATGGATATTCTAAAAGTTATAAGATATTAGTAACTATATTGTGTTTTTATAATATTAATATTAAAATACAAAACAGTAAAGCCTTATTTATTTGGTTATACATTTTTAAACATTTTATAGTATCTTGAATTAATAACGATTTTAAGGAATTATATAGTAATAATAATAATAGAATGCTGGTTTACATGACATTTACTAATATTATGAGGTTTTTATTATCTTACTTTGTAAACAATGTGGTAGTACATACTGTGGTGAACACCCATATGAACAGATACCCGTGTATCGATCACACATTCCATTATCACAATTTGACGAACAATGTTGATTGCAATCTGCGCCAAATTTACCTAATTCACAGTCTAAAAAAAGATGTAAAACAATTAATAAGGCAGTTATTTTTAAGTGTTATAAATTTATAAGCTATAAAATTATATTATGCAGTTTAAAAAATCCTTTAAATTCTTTAACACGCTWAATAAATATATTTATTTGTTTAATTTTCTACCTCTATTACACAAAGGTCCAGTCAAACCCGGTGGACAAGTGCATCCGAATTTCGTACACATGTACATACCGCGACACATTTCTGATGAATGCATAGAACAAACACCTTTACAATCAAATCCATAAGAATTTGGTCCACATGCTAAAATACAAATATTTTATTTATGTCAATTTATTATTTATTCTGTATTGTTCAACTACCTATGTATAATGTCAGTGTTAATTTGATGTTTTATATTTTTATCTAAAGTTTACTATACTCATTACTCATACTCACTTAGGAAGTAGGAACTATTTTACTTGATTCTAAAATTAAKTAGATATTGATAGTATTACATAATATTAAGTTTAAGTACTTCGGTACTACTATRGTAGATAGTTAAATTACCTGTTTCACATAGATTTCCAATAAATCCAGGAGGGCAAATACAATTATTCATTGGAGGTACACTGTATCCACCATTTAAACATTCCGATTTCCGTTTCTTACTCTCAATTTCATTATATGCTATATATTAAAATAATAAGTCAATAAATAATATATTATAAGTTGTAACTATTATCTACCTATATAATTTATAAATTGTGTRTATAACGCATTATAAAACTTATGTGTTACAATGTAATATAACTACAAGTCTACAAAGTCAAAAGATTTAACTTATAATGGTTCCTTGTGATCATACATAAGCCGGAGAATATTTATTTAATTATATTTCTACGTATGACTTTTTAGTTTTTACTGTTTATTTGAGTAAATTATAAAATTAATAATTGTTTTAAACAGTTCATAGTGTTCATACTATTACATGTCTTTCAATTATCTATATGTATGTTCTGTAAAATGTTTTTACAATGTTACAAATACTATGTATTCTAGCCAGGGGCGTATTTAGGGGGGGATGATATGGGTGTTAAAACACCCCCCATCATCCATATTTTTTTATATTTTCACCAAACTCTGAATTTACTTATTCGACCAAATTTCTATGAAAGACGAAAGTATGTACYTTATCTGTGTTTAGAAGTTTCAGCATATTATGTACCTACCATATTATTATAATCATTTATTTTTGTGATTTATAAAATAAAAATTTAATATGACTTGTAAATTGTACACATACAACATACTTATTATAATTATTTCCCTTAATATAATAATTTACATCAATATATGGTACTTGTTTATATTATACAGGGGGTGTGGGGGGTGGAGCCCCCCACCTTCCAAATGTCTATTAAATTTCAAAACACCCCCGTTAAATGAATCCTGGATACGCCACTGATTCTAGCTRAATTGTTTGTTTAACATTTTAAGTWGGTAGCTCTTTAACTTTTGTAATTTCGTTATAAGTTATTACGAAAATCGTTGACAGGTGCTRCATATTATAATAAAATCGTTATGTAAATTATTATAATTTATACTTATGAAATAAAAAATAATAATTCTTTTGAATTTCTTTTCTTATTTCGATTTTTTGAAAAATCTTCTTGACACATGCATTGTGTGATAAATTGATTTTACYTATTAATGAGTAAAATACTAATAGTAGGTACATTTATTGTAAGTTATTTAACTACAATTTACATGGTACTTATTATCTATTTACATACCAATAGTTTTAATAGAATTTTTTTTTTTGTAATTCGTATGTATAGGTGGTACCTACTTTTATAGTTTCCAAGTACGTCGAATGACTTTGCTTCATCTTCAAAATCATATACGATTCGAACATCTTCTTCATCTATAGAACAATAATGAAAACTTTTCAGTAGATTCATGAATCTGCAGGTATAAGATATTGTAAGCATTAACTGATATTTAATAGATAATGGAATTGCGTTGATCATATATTTTTTATTTTACGAATATGTATTATAATATATATCTGATCATACAATYGTTAATATTTATGTTACATTAATACATTAAACGAGCTTATGACAAGTGACAATAGTTTAGAATAAATCAATCATGGAGTAAAAATATTTTTAAGACGTATGAAAAAATAGCGACTACATTTTAACCAAATGTAAAATAAACATTGAACACTTTCAAATTCTTTGTAAGACACATGACGCACAACTCACAATAACAAGTTTTCAAATCCATTTATCTAAATATGACCTTTATATAAAAATGTATGTGACCGTGATATTATAAATAATTAGAACTGAATTTAAGATCATATAAGTCAATGAGATAATTAATAATTAASCRGGATAAAAGAGTTTTTTTACATTCAGTTTTGAACATTTTTWTGATCAAATTTGAATTTTTTTTTATATTTTTGAGGTTATTTATTTCTTAACTTTTGTCAATATAATAATATATGTAATTTTTTAAATCAATTCATTTTAAAAACAATTTTAAAACTTATTTGCATGTTGAATAATGAATAATATTTGTAGCAGACAGCAGTGTCATCACATTCGTGATAGTTGATAATTTAATACAGTTAGGTATTTTCGACTACTCTGCAAATCCACTATTAGGTAGAATAGGTATCCAATATGTTCGATTTTTTTTTACTTTAATTTCCAAACAATACTCAACATTTCTAATTTGACTTTTAGTATATTGTATATAATACTATATATAGATTAATATATAGCATTATAGCTACCTAGCTTATAAGTTATAAGTTTATAACATAATAAATGAGTAGGTAGGTAGGTACCATAATTTGAAGATTCGGCAATCCGTACAACTCCAAACCAAAATCCATTATACCCATAATTATAGCGTCCTCGGTAGTAATTATCACTATTCATTTTCATTTTTAACGATAACATATATTCTTGATTTTTTGTGAAACCAATATCATTAAATGTTATTGTCTTAACATCTTCCTATAYGTAGAACAGATTTGTGTATAAGTAATTAATTTCTAAAGTAATATAAAAAATTAAAACATTTAAATATAAATAATATTAAACTCACAAATTTCAATAGTTTGGCGAAACTTATTAATGTACTATTTGCATAGGCTATAAACATGTATATTTCCATTTTGGACGACGGCGTGTGTATGTATGTGATTGATAATCCTGCTCGGCCATGATCGGCTGTCCAAAGTACCGAAAATATTGTATTAAAATCATTATATTTATGTACAGGGCTGGTGTCAATTTCATATCTGTATTCGGAAGCATCGACACATTGATAGTTATCTAAAAATAAAAATAAAATATTATTTATACCTACATAAATACGTAGTTTTTTAAATATAAATACAATTTCATTGTTTAGAGTCCACCTTTTTAAATTTATAAWTAACAATTAAGCCTTATTGCTGAAAACTACAATTTAAAAATTATATAATGACAAGTACCTATGTTGTTACTGTTGTTTCTTAGAAAACATAATGACTAGAAATTAGAATTTATAAGACAGCCATTATTATTAATTAATAATTATTGATATTAGGTAATACATTTATTGTTATTCTCTGCAAATGTATTTATTCTATACGATTTTAAAACCTTAAAACTATAAAATATCTTTATAGCTAATTAAGTACTATGTTTTATAGCATCTAGTAGTTCTAGTAGGCCAGTACTTACTTAATGCAGTATCATCTATACAAAATAAGTGAACAAAGTGTTCTTACTTGCTCTATTAAAGTGAACTTTAAGAGTAGAATTAATACATTTTCGATATTAGATTACAATATCATATGCATTACTTCAAAAATGACATATTTTCTAAAGTTTATATTAAGTAGATAATAATTAAACCTCAGTTTTCATTTTTTGTAACATGCATCCTTAGTCAAGTTCGATAATGTTCATTAGACACCAAAATATTGKTAATTTTTGGAACAATTTTTTTTATATTTATAACTTTCAGTATGTTTTATTATTTTGACTAAATAAAATTATGGACTTAAATCTACAGACCAAAATTACCTTCATGAGTGTAGTGTTCATTATTATTACAGTAATCCATTGACGTCCCTATAATAATAAATAATATTTTTTGTTAAAAATCGTACCTAATTAATATTGTTTAACTACTAAAATTTAATATATAGATTATTTATATTTTAAATATATATACAAATAAGATAAAATATTATCAATATCTTACCAGTTACTCCAATTAATGGAATAGATTTTAGTTGCCAAGATTTAGGATCATAATCAATCTTTATACGACTATTATTCTGAGATAACCCATGTTGGAAGAACACTGACTTATTAATTAATGAACTTGACCATATAGTTTTTTGTGAAGATTTAACTTCTGCGGTAATTGGTAGTCCGATAGCATTGGTTCTTGAATGTATTTCAATTGAATAGCTATTTTTTGAATATTTCTTAAAAAAAGCCGGGTCCTTGAATCCAACTAATGTAGAAAATAATGTAGAATCTTAATATTTAAGACAATAATATACTAGTTACAAAAATATTATAGGTTTTAAACAATTCGATAATTAACTAAAACATTTAAAATGGAAAGATTTATATAGTCTGAAATAATTTTATGAACGTCAAAATGTAAAATGTATTTGYATACATATGTATAATTTTACCTTAAACAAAATTTTGATTATAATATATTCTTTAAAAAAAAAAATCCTTTTAATCGATAGATATCTGTCCAAAATAGCGAAAGTCATAATAGCAAAACAATAATACGATTTAAAAAAAGTGAAAACTTAAATTGTGAAAGTAAAAACAACGAAGTAATATAAGCGAAATTCAATGTAAATATAATATACGCTGCAGATTTATAGAAAAACGAATTAAGAGGACGCTACACCCGCATGTGTTGTCTCCGTCTTACAAGTATGTAACATTGCAAAAACTGTTTCACGCGGGAAAGACCCGAGAAGGCTACAGTCATAACTAAGAAACGAAATTCTCACCACAGATAAAAGGGAATTTTGACTGTGCAACGTTGTTTTTATTTTTTTGATATTAGAACTTTAAAAGAAAGTTATTCGATTTTGAAAAATGCAAAATTAATGAATTTTRMAACAATAAGAACTTTTTTTCTATTTATGATATCGAAAAATTGAAAACAACGTTGCACAGTAAATGTTCTCCTTATTATGTGGTGAAATTGTCGTTTCTTAGTTATAACTGTAGCCTTCTCGGTTCTTTCCCGCGCGAAACAGTTTTTGCAATGTTACGCACTTGTAAGACGGAGACAACAGATGCGGGTGTAGCGTCCTCTTAAATAAGTAATAATAAAAGTGCACAATTTATTACCTACGAAATAGTTCATCGGAAAGGATAAATAGGTAGGTACCTAATATTAACAATATGCCATAAAACTAAGATAATAATAAATTCCAGGGAAGTAGGCCCTCACACCTTATAAAAACAGCACTTATTAATTTAATTTAATATTAAATACATATTTATAATTACAAATATGTTCTTAGAAACTTTCGTTTATTGATGTTTGATAAATCAATTTACAGTTACCTAAATATTACACGTTACCCTTTGTTTTATATTCGTGAGAATTGTTTAACAATAAAAACATATAAAAATATTTAAAACTATAATGAATACAATATGTCATGTTGTTTTTTGTGATCAACGATAKAAATACAATAATGTTGTTCAGAAATTAGACAAAAAAAAGATTGCATTAAAAGTATAAATAATTTGTACTTTTATAACACTTTAATGTATATATTGTTGATATGGTTGTTATTTGAATAACTCAATGTCACAGACATTTACGCGTATACYTATATCTAAAACTATTATAGCATTTACTATATATATAATGTAATTTTAAAAATATGTTGGCTCTTTTTGTGCTGATAATGCATATGTATAAATTTATTATCATCGCTGTAAACTATATACTTGCTTAGGATTTTTGTTACAATCAATTCGAATGATATAAGACAATGATAAAGTATAGTGTGTATACACATCACAATAAACTTAACACAATTTCATGTTAAGAATATTTGTGTACAATACAATCACATTTGCAGTAGGTAATCTATAATTTAAAAATCAAAATTCATTTTCTATATCTTGATAAGCACAACAAGCATTAAAGCAAAATAAAAATATTCACAATTGTCAGTAATGACAAAATGAAATAAAAACATAAATATTTATATGTATAATAATAAAATTATTATTATTGCTTACATACCATTTAAAATGGGCCTAGCAGACGCATTCGTCATTCTGTAAATTGTAGTAATGTCATAATCTTTGTGAATCGCTGAAATGAAAATTAAATAATGATAAAAATTAAAATTCTAATATCATGTTTTTATACGGTATATACTTACGTACCTAATTATTTCTAACTAGACAAAATATATATGTTTATAATTTTTAGTGCTCCCGAGGTATAGTAAAGGCCAATAACTAAAATCTTTATACGATTAACTAGAAACATTTTATAATAATGTTTTATGATTTTTCTTTTCAGAAAAACTAGGGTTTTAAATATACTTATTGAAAATTTTAGTTTTCCAATAAAAAGAAAAATTTCGGTTTAAAAATACATTAATAGTTTAAAGACATAAATTTAAAATCGTACTTGCTAAAATATCATTTATATTTATTGAAATCTGAATTGCCTGTACAAAGTGATTCATTTGAATGTCTATATAATATACACACACATTATCACAAAAAGTTTTATTTTTTTAGAAGAAATTATTTTCACATGATACGATGTATTGTATTTTTTCAAATTATAAATATATTTTTTTTCGATTTTTTTTTGGTAACAGCATACATTTTATAATTCATATTCCTATGTAGAATATTTTGAACAAAAATATTGAATTTCAAACGAATAAAATAATTACTCGTAACTTTTAACTATGATTAACTGTTATTYAAAATTCTATTTTTTTATTTCTAACCTAATCGAAATAATTATCAACAATATTCTGCTTATCAAAATTCTGTTTTTCAATGACATACAATTATGTATAAAAAGTATTTTCAAAACATATCAAACTTTAAATAATGAGCGTTCGAAAACTAAAAAAAAAAAATACAAATACATTGTGTAAAGATACAAATAAGATATTTGGTGATAAGAAATTCGCATTAGAAGATTATTGTACCCATGCGTTTGTTCTTTCCGTCTTATAAACGTAYGGTATAATACATTTTCGTTCACTAGTTTTAAAAGAGTCTATAAGTTTTGATATTAGAGTAGATTGGCCTATTATCAAACTTKTTGATAGGAACATAATCTGTACTTAAACGTTGTAAATTTTTCAATATTTTCAAGCAATATATGATTATGTGAAATATTTTAATAAAAATGCTCATATCTCACTTGTTTAGATTAAAATATTTAATAAATCCGGCGCTCAAGTACAGATAATTTTCTTACCTAAAAGTTTAATGACATATAAATTTACTCTAATATCAAAACTAACAGCACTCTATTGAAACTTGAAACCAGTGAATGGAAATTTAGTATGTCGTACTGTGTACGTCTATGAATTATTAAAATCTAAGAATAATATAGACTCAACTTCTAATAAATAAATTCGCCTTTGTAAAAATTATGTCAGAGCTTTAACAAACCCGAAATTCCGAATATTATAAGTATATTTAATTATAGATAATATAAATAAAATATAATCTCAAAGTTGTAGGTATATTTATTATGTGCATAATAAATTGTTACCTATGCAATTTAAAATTTATAAAAATAAATATCTTTTAACATTTTGTATCATATACTCTAGTTGTATTAAAACATTTTTACATCATTATGTTGAGCACTTCAAAATGTAAATGTAATTCAATCACTTTAATCACAAATACTTACTGCTATTGTTAGAATGAGATGTAGTTTCGCTCCAAACGTTCGAAATACAAAATATTACGAAGAGCCAAACATAATAATATACTAGAATTATCATTTCAGAATATTTTTTATAAATCATATTACAAATTTGAAATTTTCCTAGTGTTCACTTGAAAAATGATTCTACGATTTGGAGACAACAATATAAACTGAATAGTTCGAGACAAATTAACCGACTAATTGTAAGTCATTTAATATATATATATAAGAAACACTCACAAACAAAAACATAAGCGTAAATAAATATTATTATCGGACAATTTTTATTTGTGTATGAGTGCATAAAGGTGGAATTATACACATTATAAAGCAAATTCCATTATAATTATTTGCTATACCTACCTACATAGTCGTCTAATATTATAATGTACAGCGTGAAGCACCGTGTTTTGACCATTTTACAATTTTAGCTCGATGGCAATATGATAATTAAACACATAGATTAGTACTGTATTATTTAGGTACAGTTTCAATATTGACACTAATAATTTTATTTTTCCGTATTTACGTTACAAAYACAAMTCGATTATTATTATAATTAAATCATATTTGAAGAATATAGATATTATAGTTATCATATTATAATTTAAAGTTTCTATGTATATAGTCAATATTCATTATAATAATATAATATACGAATAATGATTGAAATACATCCGGTAAAAAAATCTTTCCAACGTTTATTTTTTCGTATGTCTGCAGTAACATACGTTTACTCAGCAGAGCAACATAAAAATAATTTATAGTTTATACCGATAACAATCCTGTGTTCAATCATTTTAATCATATTCTGGCAAAGTTCATTAATTGTATTTATGTGTAAACCTAATATAAATAATTGTTTTTTATTTGCCTTGAATTAAAATATATATTAATATCAAAAGTCAAAAGTCAATAATACGATGTAATTAATTAATTATTCTACKGCAGTGAAAAATGGACGTTCATATTACCAATAAGAATAAAGTACCTAATACACGATCACGAACATAATGTTGAATACTTCAATTGCATTCGATTGAAGAAATTTTTTTTTTTTAATTTTCCCGAATTTAGCTCTGCATTTTTATTTTATTACATTTACATTCGTCATGTTTATAGATACCAACTTCTAACTGCCGTTCGGAGGCTTGACTATTAAGCTACCTATTTTAAAAGGGAGCATTGATCTGGTGAATATAGGCATATTTATAACTTACTTAGGTTAGGTAGTGACATAGTATAATAAGATGGAATAAATGAAATGAACTCAAAATTATGTGATTTGGTGAAAATGTTGATGAACATTAAAAAAAAAAATTATGATAAACACTATGGCTGTATGTAGGTACTCAATTACATGCGATAGAAATGAATACAACGATAGTTTCTCGATCACACGGACGAACATATTCGAAAAGAAAAATCAGATATTATATTATTTAAAATATTAAACTCAAATGTGCATAATCGATAAGATACGATTCATCTTCAAACGTTTTTTAAATTATTTTGTGATGATTTAAAACTATTAATCATTGAAAAACTGATACATTCACAAAATTATCACATTCTATAGCTCTATACACAATGAAATATTTTWAAAAAAATAGAATAATATTGGAAAAGTTGAGAACTATTTAAAACCATTTTAAATTTTGGACTTTTTCTTAAAGACGTGTTGATTAGGTAACATTTTTAGATTGAGCCAAAAGCTTGAAAATTTAATATAAGATCTACATGCATGTACTTATAATAAATAAAAAACCTAATTAAAACACATAATCAATGTTATTCTTTTTATAAAACCGTTTAAAGTACTAATTACGATAAAGTTCATCATAGTTCATGAAAATTAACAATTTATTAAATTGTTACAAATTAATAAAATTATGAATTATATAATAGGTAAGCATTGAATATTTAATTCAAGGTTGCGCATCTGTATTTTTTAAAGASGCCTTAAAATCTAAAAACATTTATTATATTATAATATGCAATCATTTTTTTTTCAAAAAGAAATTTGAATAAAAATAAAAAATAACTATTTTAGTAAATTTGTTGTAATTCAAATATGTTTTTTGTGAGAACTACTTTTTCGTATTATATTATCATATTTTACTAAATGAGCGATAMAATTTTAAAAATACTTATATTTATATTAAGCCTAACCTATAGCCTATTTATTAAACAATTACACTGCCGTTTTATATGATTTATATATACATTTACATTACATATTACATCATGCATCTATTATATTGCATATAAGTCGGTAAAAAAATTATATGATATAAATATATAATTATTGATCTACTAATTGTAAAATGTTTGGAGAAATGTAATTTAATCTTTCATACTACCTATAGGAATGTATATTTAAATAAATTAGTAACAACAATATTATATGAATTATAATAAAATATATTAAAATAATAGTAATAATAATATGTAGTCTGGCAGACTGTCTTCGCTCAGACTTGTTTGATTATAATTATCTACTCAATGCTAAGGTTTACTTATAACACCTACTAGTCTACTTCAAAGCAAAAAGAGTTCGTTGATTTTTAGCATAACTTTTTTATGATTTAAATCAAAAATTTGATCGATCTCTAGTAAGTAGATGAATTGACAACAAATACAAATGTTTTTAAAATTCTTAGCGCTTCATTAGATAAGTAATCTTTACGTAAGAACCATAACAATATGAATTTCTATATTATTGCACACGTGTTGGTCAAAGACAGAATATTACTGCTTCCAAGTGCTTAAAAATAAAATACGATATTATAAAGGTTAATACTTATCACCGAATATTTATGGATTACACATAATAGATAATAGTTTTAGTATTGAATAATTAATTAATATTAACTAGGTATAGACTATTAAGTGATAGTAATATCTCATAACATAACAGAGACCAATATCAATACAAATTACAATTWTATACGCTAAAGTTGATCATTTTTAGTGATAATTCGGTCAAACATAACATTTTCAGTCTATAAAACAATAAATTATGAAGTTCAGAACAATATAGTGCCAATAAATGATAGTTTTAAATAAACTGTAAAAATATTTAATAAAGTAAAAAAAATATATGAAGTGGTACCTAATAGGTGAAGGCGATTGCCGCATTAAAATWAAAATGTTATTAATGTGGGCATCGCATAATTTAAAAAAAACTACATATCTATGTATAAAAGATTTATTATTATTTATTTATTTCTATAAATTAAAGATTCAAGAACTTGTAAAACAAATACATTCTGCGCCCACTTAGAATTTATAAAAAAATATTTGAATGATTTTATTTTGGTACGATAGGTACGATAGGAACAAAGATATTTTATAGTATTAATTATAATTTATAACACACCTATTTTATTTTGTCTACTATCTATACAATTTGAAAGAAATAAAACACAGTTTAAAGATTCAAAAACGAAATTAATGTGAAAATCAGGTTTTTATAATAGGTATTAGGTACATATAGATATACTATGTTAAGCTCGTAGGCTGTATGAATATTAAATAATATATATAATAATGGATTTGAATTTCTACACCCGAAATTAAATTTTAAGTTTAAACATCTGTAAATACTCTATAGTGTAACATGTCTCGCATGCGCGTGCGGGAGCTGCAGTGTGCATTGGAATGCGAGAGACTGCGTATTATATTAATATTATTGTATATTGTATTATATTATAAATTATAAACACACCTGCTGGATAGGCTTTAAAGATTTTCGATTGGTCGTTCCGGCCTACAAATGATCACCGCGTTCATGGTGGTGGCCTTKCACAGATGACCCTCGACGATGTCGACGCTAGCATGTGAAGATTAGGTACCATGTTGCACTTTGGGAGAGATTATAATTATTTTGTGAATACGACAGGAGATGRGAGGTCATTTTAAGAATAAATATAAAATATACTTCTAATGGATAAATCGTTTTATCACATTAGCTTCAAAAATATATAAAAAATTGTCCCGCGTAAACAWAATCAACGAGTAGACTACGAAAATACATTAGTTTTGAGTACCTATCTACGACAAAATATAATTAATTCAATCAATAGTTGTATAAAATCATATTGTATATGCTAAATCATAAATAAATAATTTACATGGAATGGGCTGAGAGTAAAAGGGAATGGATTCAAAATCACTAATATTCAGGAAACTTAAAATAACATTTAATTTCTGTATGAGCTCAAATTGATTTCAATCTTCCTAAATAATTTGAACTAAGAAATAATGTCAATAATATTTAGTCAATAAAAGTTAATGAATACCTACTTATTTACGAACATATTCTATTAGCTAGGGTATATAAACGAAAAATGCCTTTTAATGCCCGAAAAATTAACTTTTTCTTTWTTACTCGCGCACTGTTTATTTTTAAATTCAAATAAAGATGCGTAAATACATAATGGACTAATAATAATTGTAAATAAATAGCGCTATACTTACGACTATATACTTACTTTTATTGAAAAAAATGTATATAAAATATATTATAACACCAATATAATTCTAAACAACTTATATGACATATAAGTWAAATGTTACATAATATTTTTCGTCCTCATACAATACTAAATGTGAGTTCTTCTTACAAAAAAATGATAATTTCTTTTACACGTTATGAGCTTGTAATTATTCCTGCCAACATTTTATTTTATTTCAAAAGGGTGATGAGTGAAGTATAATATTTTAAAAAAATAGGTATTATATTACCTCTGCAGGATGAATATGATGAAATCGAACATTTTTTAGTAATTTTTACCGACGTAMATGTACTTTTAAAATTCACCAAAATTGTATATTACTACTTCTTGAGTGTATTAAAATATTATTTTGGTAGCCATTGGAAATCTGGCAGGTACAATAATAAATGGCGCACAATCAAGTCGTCGTAGTATAATTATAAAATAAGTAAATAGTAATCAAAGCCGGATTTGAATGATTTTTTTTTTTGTTATAATATTTAGACGATTATTATTCTAACTAAGAGCATGTATCAATAATAACAATTTTTTCT